TGTCCCAGTCCTGGTGGCTGAGGGTCAGGTGTGCGCCGTGTCTTCCAGGATCAGTCTCTGGGGAACTGGAGAATTAAGAGGCAGATCTTGGAGGGGGAGGAGATCGCCTACAAGTTCACGCCCAAGTACGTCCTGCGCGCCGGCCAGATGGTCACGGTAGGTGGTGGGGCAGGAGGGCGAGGGTGGCCACAGATGGGATGTGAGGTGGGGCCAGGGGGCTGGAGGAGCAGGACTTGGTAGGGGGTAGGGATGGTGGTGGCACCAGGCACTGTCTAAGAGCAGCTGCCGCAGTCATAGAACCTCCATGTGCCGGTGTCACCCCACTGGGCCTCCCTGGAGTCTGAGCTATGTGCCCTGGGTCTGAGTCCAGGCCGTTGGGGCTGGCAGGCGTCCCCGTGAAGTGTAACAGTCAAGGGCATGGGCCGTGGAGCCCGGTGGGCGTCAGATCCCAGCTCAGCCCTGCTTGCCAAGAGAAGCCTGGTCTCTTCTGTATCCTGGGGGCCATCACCCTGGACAAGCCTGCGTCAGGCTGGAAGGACTGAATGCCCACGGCATTGAGGGGCATTGAAGGGGGCTGTGCGGTAGGAGCCAGTGGCTGACCCACATCCCTGGAACCAGAGGGGACCCTGACGGGGCCATTGTTCCTGGGTCCCCAGGTGTGGGCCGCTGGTGCTGGAGTGGCCCACAGCCCCCCCTCGACGCTGGTGTGGAAGGGCCAGAGCAGCTGGGGCACGGGCGAGAGCTTCCGCACCGTCCTGGTTAACGCGGATGGCGAGGTAGGTGCCCAGCTTGGGGGGTGCTCGGCTAGAGTCCTGAGCGGGGCCTGGGGACTCTCGGGGCGGGCACGGCAGCTTTGGGCCTGATCCCTGGACGCGCTGCCATGTCCTGTCCCACACAGGAAGTGGCCATGAGGACTGTGAAGCAGTCCTCAGTGGTGCGAGAGAATGAGAATGGGGAGGAAGAGGAGGAGGAAGCCGAGTTCGGCGAGGAGGATCTTTTCCACCAACAGGTAGGACCCCGGTGCCCACTTGCGGCTGGGGCGCAGCCTCTGGGGCAGAGTGAGCTCCTGCACGCACACACACACGTGTGCTTGCCGCACCCCCGGCGGGAGCTCCATCTGGCTGCCGTGGTTCAGGGTGAAGCCAGCCTTGGCTGTTACCGGCACGGCAGAGACCTGTTCTTGCCTCCTGGGTCGCGCCTGTCATGTGGATTTGCGACATCACAGACCTCAGGGTAGCTGGCCAGGGGGTCCCCTGAGAGGTGGGTGTTGAACAGCTCCCAGATGCTCTCTGGTCAACCAGGCTTCCTCAGTCGAAGACACAGGTCCCTTCAATATTGGCTTTTGGGGAGAAGATGAGTGCCGAAGCCACACTGCGGTAAATGCACGTATCGCAAGATTCGTGTGATTTGTTTTGGAACCCAAAACAGAACGTGTCGCTCACAGGCGGGCTCATGGGGAAGTGGAAGTGGAATGGAAGGCTCTAGAAGTAGACACTGCTGTCGCTCAGCCCCTCCCTGGTGGGGAGGTGGGGGCAGCCGTCTACCTGCCGGCTGCCTCCAGGCTGGCCCTGATCATGGCCGTCCTTCCTTCCTTCCTTCCTGCAGGGGGACCCGAGGACCACCTCGAGAGGCTGCTACGTGATGTGAACCCACACTCCTCATCCACACACCTTTCTTTACCCAGAGCCACTGAAAACTATTTTTATATCATTGGCTTTCTTTAGTTCTTGATACATTTCTAGAGAATTTCTAAGCAAACTGCCAGAACGTGTGGGTGGGTCTCCCCCAGCCTTCCCTCCCTGCAGGTATCCTCCAGCCTCACTTCGCTGCCACTTCACCGCTGCCCCGGAGACTTTTCAGTCCCACCCCACTCCCCATCTCACCATTTGGTCAAATTGGAAGCCCAGGGCCAGGACCCCGAGGTTTAGAAGATGCTCGGGCTTGGAGGGAGGAGGGCCGGCGAGGCTAGAGCGGGGACAGGAGACGGCCCCGATGCGGACAGAGCGCGGAAACCGCGTAGGAATTCAGTGGTGGTGGGTTTTTTGAAGGCTTTCTACAAAACCAAATTCAGAATCCAGGCGTCGACCTGGTGGGGCTGGGGGCCAAGCCTGCATTCTGGCTGCCCAGCTTCTGACAGCAGGAGCTCCTCAGGCAGCCACGCAGTGGGTGTGGAGCACCGTGGGGGTGGCGTGGCCCCCAGGGTGGGTTTTCGCTCCGCTGCCTGGGCTTCCAGATTCCCGTTCTGACAGCCCACCGGCCGGGTTTCTCGGACCGTTGACTTTATTTGGGGGAGTTTTCCCTCAGGTCAGTTCCTGACTCTGCAGGGCCAACAGGGCAGGGGAGGGGAAGACCCGGGGAAGGGAGAATGAGGACAGTCCCGTTGTAAGACCTGTCACATTAAGCAGGGAGGGGACACAGCTGGTTGCCTCGGAGGCAGAGGCTGTGAGATTCAGAGCAGCTGTCTGCAGGGAACGCCACCATGTGGACTCCCTGGAGGAGAGCGCTGTGGAGCCCCTCCCGGGTTCCGGCTCCGTCTGCCCTGCGCCTAGATACACACATGCATCTACCCATACCGTAGCTTTCATCTGTGATTCTCTCGCTGAAGCCATGTTTCTCAGATAGGCCAAGGCCACCTGACTCCTATCACGATGCCCCCAATCCCCTCAGTCCAGCTTCCCAACACCTGGCACCCCCTTTGGCAATAGCTCACCGTTTACACCCTCCCTCATAGATACACAGAAGTTATTTTTTTAATGGATATTTATTTTTTTACATTGGTCAGTACGCAGGTCAGGAGCTCACGCCAGGGCCTTGAGGACAGGCTGACTCTCCTCCCCGGGGTGGTGTGGGACTGGGGGTCACTCCGACAGCAAAGCCTCCTTCAGAAAGTGCAGCTCGAGTCTTAAAGACACCAAAACTGAGCCGTTGGCACGCGCCGTCTCCAGGCCTTGGCAGGGTGGGGGCGGCACCGCTCCCCTGTCACTGTGCATCCCGCCTCCCTGGGGACTTGCCAGTGGGAGGAAGGAATGGGGGGGCCCCAGCCCCAGGCCGGGAAGTAGCCAGCGGCCGACAAAGCAGAAACACCCGCTGCTCCATGTAGCCCCCGCTCGCTGTCCTTGCTCTCAGAAGTCCCTGTCCCATGTGGATCAAGGGGGGGCGTGTCTTACCAAAGCATTTCCTCCTGGAGGGGCCCCACAGGCTACCACGCTGTGCTCCCAGTCAGGCGGCTGGTAGGGAGCTTTGCCCGCCCCAGGGATACCCTCTGCCAGCCGCTGGAAGTGGGAGTGCTGGCGACAGACTCCTCTTCCCCACCTTCATGGCAGGAATCACCTGGACTCCAGTGGCCGGGCTTCGTGCCAGCGCGTGTTCCGGGGGTGGGTCTTGGTGGTCTTGTCCTGTGCGGAGTATGCAGTGGTCTCAGCCACATCCTATGTATTTGGGGCCTGGGGGAGCAAAGCTGTATCCTGGAGTTGGTCTGTAATTTGCTGACAGCTTCGCAGGCTGGGCTCAGGGACAAATTTCCCCCCCCAAAGCCGGCAGGTCCTGGTGTCCAGACGCTGCCCAGCCCTGTCCTGAACACAGCACGCCCCAGGTCCACAGAACCCCCCACCCTACATTTGCCTTGGGTGGAGCTGGGGGTGGTCCTAGGACTGCAGGTGCCCTTAGCTGAAGGGAGTGGGGAGAGGTGTGGACTGTGCAGCCTGTGGGTGATTGGAGGTTCATTGAGAATTGAGTCTTTGGAAACACTAAGAAAATCAAAGTTTTAAAAGTTATTTATGGCCTGGGAAACAATTTGCATTTGTCCCCAAATACGCTTAGCTGTGTGCCGCTTAGAATGATGCGAAACCATCCCTCTGTGTAAGCCCATGCTGTGACTCCAAGCCTAGCGCCCTCCCTGCGAAGCATCAGACGCCGCCCAGCCCTGGGGGGAGGCCCACGGCTGCTGGACCAACGCGGGTTCTGGGGTGCACAGCCCAAGGTTAACGCGGAAGCCTGCCCCGCTGAGCCCAGGAGCCAGGAGGCCTGCGGGCTGACCCAGAATCCGATCATGCACCTGTCCTCATGCCAGCGGCTTTGGCTGGGGTTGGTCTGAGGCCTGCACGCGGCAGTTCCTTGTTAAAGATCCAAGGGACTCAGTCCTGGGGCGTCGTCGCCTGCAGCGTCTTCCAAGCCCTGCGTCCAGCGAGCGTCACAGCACAACCTGCAAACGGAGCTGGGCTGTAGCCTTGGGGCTGGCATGGACTTTGATTTCCGAGATTCGGTTTTTAAGAAGATGCATGCCAAATGTGGTGTTCTTTTTTTTTTTTTTTTCCAATGATTTGTAATATACATTTTATGACTGGAAACTTTTGTACAACACTCCAATAAACATTTTGATTTTAGGTTCTGCCTCTTGAGTTTATTCCTGCGCGGGGAAGCTCGAGCCGGGGCCTCTGTCCCCAATGAAGCGGATGTCTAAAACCCTCCACCCTCAAGGAAAAGGTGACTGGCGAGTATACACAGGCCCCAGGTGATGCATGGGACCCTGCCCGTGTTTTCTAGTGAGCCTCCGACGCTGTAGCACCAGTGGACTCTTCGTCATGTGAGGAGACCGGGCTCCGCCCCGGCAGCAGTACGTCATATAGACGCGCCGGCTGCCTCGTGCGCATGCGCGGCAGGCCTCTGGGGTGACGAGCCGGAGACGGAGCCTGTGTACAAAGTGATCGGCTTTGGCCGCGCGCAGTGGCCCCCCTACTCCCCGGGCGAAGTCGGCCGCCTTCCCGCAGAGTCGCAACCACGGGTGGCTTCTGTAGGTAACGGCAGGTCCAGGCCTGCGCGTGAGCAGAGGGCCCCCCGCGCGACCTGGAATGGCCCGGGCGCGCGCGGTCTTGTGGGAGTTGTAGTCTTCCGTCCCCGTCCACGTGGACTCCGTTTCCCGTGGTGCCCCGGGAGGCTCGCTTCCGGCGCAGCTACGGGTCGGCGCACGCGGCCTCGGTCCGGTTGACTTTGCGGAGCCATGGAGGGCGGGTTCGGCTCCGATTTCGGGGGCTCCAGCAGCGGAAAGCTGGACCCAGGGCTCATAATGGAGCAGGTGAAGGTGCAGATCGCCGTGGCCAACGCGCAGGAGCTGCTGCAGGTGCGGGGCTGGCCGGGGACGGGCGCTGGGGCGACAGGGCCACCCCTGGGGGCGGACGTCGCGGCTAAAGCCTCGCGTGTCTCCACAGAGGATGACGGACAAGTGTTTCCGGAAGTGTATCGGGAAACCTGGGGGCTCCCTGGACAACTCCGAGCAGGTGAGACCCGCGGAGGTTCGGGGCAAGGGTCGCGAGGGTCTGGATTCGGGGGGGAGGCGTCTGCGCGTGCGCAGACTAACGAGGCGGCGCGGCGGAGTGGCTACCGCACGCGTGCACTCTGCAGCCCGGGCGGCCTGGATCCGGGGTGAGGGAGGTCCCCGGGGGCGCGAGGTCCCGAGCTGAGCCGTGCGCCCCTCCGGTCCCGCAGAAGTGCATCGCCATGTGCATGGACCGCTACATGGACGCCTGGAACACCGTGTCCCGCGCCTACAACTCGCGGCTGCAGCGGGAACGAGCCAACATGTGACTGGCGAGCCCGTGGGCCGCCCCGCCCCGTTCATTTTCACAAACGTGCTCTGAGAGGCGGGGCCCGCATGTGCGTACTGCCTGCCCGGGGCTTAGCGGGGTGGCACCGGTGCTGGGACAGACGGGACTGTGTCCTCGCCACCCCCCGCCTTGCCCCCTGCCAGCCAGTGCAGCTTGGATCTCAGGGGTGGGGGGGGCCCTGTGCCTTCCCAAAGTGCTGGCAGCCCAGTGGCACCTCCTTCAGGCCTTTGGGGTCTTCCCCTAGTGGGCCCAGGTCAGCCTCATATTGTTTGGGCGGAGAACTCTTGTCTGGACTTTGGAAGTGGGGGTGGTCCGACCCCACCGGAGCTGTCACCTCCTGCGGTTGGGCAAATAAATTGGTGGAGGGCGGAGAGAAACCTCTTTATTTCCCTCCTGAGGGATCTCTGGGAAGAGTTGACGCGTGTCCCTGGAACCCCAGTTCGGAGGGTCTCAGGCTCTCCTGGGTTGGGAGAAGTCCATCTTTCCCCTTAAGTGCCACCGGGCTGCTGAGTCACGAGGAATGTGTTGTTGCCACCACCCCTGTCCCAAAGGCTAAGGGGGACAGCCCTCCCCTTGTCCAGGCTTGCTTTGACCCCTCTTCCTTCCACCCGGGTCCTGTTGGAGCACCAGGCAGGTGGTCCGCGCTGTGACACTGAGGTGCTGAGCCAGTGAGCCGGGGTGGAGCAGCTGTGTTTATTGGAACAAAGGGTGCTACCAAAAGGCATCCCCATGACCCACAGCCCCCCCCCCCCGTCCTTGGGTAGGGGACAGTGAGGTGGGGTGTTGGGTGGCCTGCTGCTCCTGCTGCTTTCGCCTAGAGTCCCGGCCTGGGCAATCACGTGGCGGTCACTCCTGGATGTGCTGTCCTATCCAGCCTCTCACAGCTGCCACCCGGGTATAGACACCTGGGAAGTGGGGCCGGCCGCAGCCATAGCCCCAGCTGGTGACCCCAGTTAGCACCCATCGTCCAGACGGCTCCCTGCAGGCCAGGGGTCCCCCAGCGTCACCCTGTTGGGGAGAGAAGCGGGGATTCAGAGTCTGGTACCTCCCCTACAGCAGCCCTTGGGTCATTGGCCCCCGTAGGGGTGACCGTAGTGAGTGGCTTCCCTTGGAAGCTGCATGTTCACTATCTGGAAAATGGGCTCAATGCAAAGGTGGCAGACACTGATGGACACCCGCCACGTGGTCCCGGAGTGGAATGGGGCCTCCCGCTGCAGCCTCTGCCTGCTCTGCCGTTGAGACCCAGGGGTGGGATGCAGTGGGTACCCAATAAACGGTTGTGGAGTGGAAATTCCTCCAGAGCCAAAAAGGCCCCCTGCCTGATCCTCTGGAGAAGTCTGCACCGGAGCGTGGCGCCCGGACGGTGGGCGTCGTGGCAGCGGGAACCCTCCCTCC